CTACTGTTCATGGTTATCTCTCTCTCTCTCTCTCTCTCTCACACACATACACACACACACACACACACACACACACACACACACACACACACACACACACACAATACCACTAAATAATATCTCTCGAGTCTGCCCTCGCCCTGGGCCATCACTGTCCACCCGGAGTGTTCTAACATCGGGGTCTGGCACCTTCCGCAGCTCTCACTGTATTGACTCAGGGCTCCAAGGTGACTCATCCTGGTACAGCCCTGCCTAGGGTATGTGACACTAGAGCCACGGAGAGCCAAGAATCTAGTGAAAAGTGACCTGCCCGACAATCCGCACCCCCTGGTCGTGCCCCCTTCCAACACCCCTTCACCAAACACGTACTCTCTGTCTCTCTGTCTGTCTGTCTTATACTGTTCATGGTTATCTCTCTCTCTCTCTCTCTCTCACACACACATACACACACACACACACACACACACACACACACACACATACAACATTCCTAAATAATTTCTCTCCCGAATCCTGCTCCTGATTTGTAGGAATCAAGAGGCAATAAATATTGGGATTGTCCAAAAGGTCCAAAAGGCTAACCTTTCATGACTCAATGCCACATTCTACTTTTGGTTTTTGATCCTACAAAAGCATTCTAGAGAAGATGAGTCAACTCAGCCTAAAGATAATGCCAGTACAGTACATGGTATTCAATCATGATCTGATAATGTTTCCCTAACATGCAGATGAGAAGTAAGTTCAAACCAAGGAAAATTACTTGGTACTCAAGGCAAAAAAGGAAAGTAAAAAAGAGAAATTCAGTCCTTCCCCACCTAAACAATAACTCTAAGTTTATGCTCCTATGACCTAGATATAGTCAAACAGATCATACAGATTGTTCCTAGGGAGAAAGAGACCTCAGCTTTCAACTCTTCAGCCAATTCTCCAGGTTAGCAAACATCTTTGCAAGGGAATATTGAAAGAGACACAAAAAGGGTTTATGGGATAGAAACAGTGAATGACCTTAAACAGACCTAAACTTGGGATAAGGGAGCTATAAGCACATTGCTTGCTTGTAACAGCATATAACAGGCTCCTCTCTTAACTCTAAGCACTCTGAATTCCCACAAGGAAATATCACTTTTCAGAGGAGTAGAAAATCAAATACGTTTTCTTGTACCGTCAGCGAAGGGATGTGGGAGAAAGCAGGGTCAGAAGGGTCACAGGGCCTTTCCATTGTTTTACTCAACACAGCAAAAAGAGTTTGAAGGTGTGACAGTAAAGAGACTCCAACAGACTGCGCTGAGCTTAAGTCTGTAAATACCTCCACTGTGTGGACTGCTTTCACCTCCAGTGCAAGCTCCAGTAGATAATGAGTGTTGTAAATCAGACCGCCTTATTTACTAACAAGTCTAGTGTGGTTTATGTAAATGCAGGGTTTTTAAATGCATGAAAAGTACAATCCAAAGTTCTAGAACGCCCAATAGAGGAGCTGAGGAATAAGCATCATAGCAAGAAACACCGAGGCCTTTGGCTGAGTCCTTGTGAATGCCAGAATTGTTCTTAAATACAATTAATTGCAGTAGTAAAGCATATTAAGGCGAGGGCCAAAATCAATGTATTAATGGCATGGCATTAGTGCTGCTTAACCAGACAATAAGAAGATGCACAAGGCACTCTGGCAGTAGGGCTGCAGAGTCTCTTTATCCTATGCTAAGAAAAATAAAGAGTAGATGAGTTTCCAGTTATTCCCCCCAAATTAGAGAACCCCACTCTAGAAACTCAGAAGAAGCTCCCCATTTAGCTTTCATAAACACATGCAATATAAAAATGCATAGCTGCAACAGCAATGTAGATCACTTAACGCTGCTTAACTGTAGACTGCAAAATGCTTAAGATGATAAATTCATTCTAACCGTGCCTTTTATTTGCCACTTGAGTAAAACAGACCTTGCCCTTTACAATGCATCTTGACATTTGACACAATGGGGACTTAAATGATCAGTTACATAATTCTAATAACATTCTACTTACATGTGACATTGGTATTATTTTTTAATTAATTTAGCACTACTGTGGCATAACCATTTCTAGGTATCAGGAGCTGCTGCTTAGCAATGTGATATTGACTGAATAGGATCCACAAACAGAGAAGCACAGACCTAGACAGAGTAACTTCGGAGGTAAAGAATCTAAGACAGTCACTGTAACATGAAGATTCTTAACAAAATACATTCAATAACTGACAGCAAAATGTCAACTGAACTTCAATTATGTATGCAAACACTGTATGCTACCTGTTAATTAATCTGTGCATATATTTTCAAAATGTTCCTTAGGTTCTCTCTAAAGCCTGAGGGATACCATGGTTGAAAATATAGATACTGAGAGATATGTTATTTTCAGGTTGTGTGGTCAGTTGTTGCTCTAGCAAGTTCTGAGAACATATTATGGAATTTAGTCCTGTTTTCAAAGGATAGAACACATAAATTCAGAAGTACACCAGTAAACTAGTATATTAACCTAGGATATGTGAGGGACAGCACTGAATCTAATAGCAAAAGTTTAAAAATGCTTAATTTGGCTCCAACTGGCACGAGTATCCACTAGCCAAGCTGTTCAAGCAAATGTTAACATGAAAGGAAGAGCACAGGTGCTACCATACAAGGCTGAAAGGGAAACAAAATCACCTACTGATATTATTTTGAGAATTTTTTAAAAAGTAGACTTCAAAATAAGCCTTTGAGGTGCAATACATTTTACAGGTAAAGGCGCCAAATCACCAACTGGCTGGGGCCAAACAGAACTAAAGGGCAGAGTAGACAAAATTATCATTTTCCAGGTCTCACATCTCCTCAGCCCGACTACTATTAGTAGCCTAATTCCACAACCTGAACACTCAGCTCGGCCCCATCTATTTCTCAGTTCCCTCAATATCAATAGGTGTTCAATCAGAAAAAGAAAACCACCAGGCATGGTGGCACATGCCTTTAATCCCAGCACTCAGGAGGCAGAGGCAGGCAGATCTCTGTGAGTTCAAGGCCAGCCTGGTCTACATAGTGAGTTCCAGAACAGCTGGGGCTACAGGGAGGCCCTGTCTCAAAAAGACCAAAAAAAAAAAAAAAGAAAAGAAAAGAAAACCCTAAGCGTGAGAACCGGGAGTACCATGCTAGAGTGAAGGACTGTGGCAAGCTTTTGTGAGTATTTCAGAAATAGGAAGCTGCCTTCACATAGAAAAAAGTAACCGCAATTGTAAGAAACAACAGGGACGCTGGGTCCAGTCTCAAAAGTCAGACTTAGTACTATTCTAATTTCTTTTTCTTTTTCTCAGCTGATCTTAAAACAATTAAAGTGAAAATCACAGTCTGTATCTTCTTTCTTCAGTCCTTGTCTATCACCTAATACAAAAAAAAAAAAAAAAAAAGCCTGCATTCTCCAGCAATGAAAATACACCTCCCTGGTTCTCCAAATGTCAGAAAGGCTCTAAGTCCCTCATGGCCTCCTCTGACTGACACTGATCTCTCAAACAGCATGGGTTCTGCAAAGAGCCACAGACTCTTTGGACAAGCCCAGTCCACGGCAGGCATTGCTGGGGCCCTAACCCACCCTCCTTTCCCACAGGGCTGCTATGCTCCTTGCCAAAGGCCAAGATCCTGACACCCTGGGTTCAGCCCACAGTTGGCTGCTCGCATCAGGGCTCAGCTATATACCAGGCCTGCACATTCCCCTCTGATCTGTTCTCACTTCCTTCTGCCAGAGCCCCATAGACACGAATATCACCAACAGAACTGGCAGCGAGATTAAAAAAAGGTTCTTACTTACATTTAAAAAATAAAAACAGGTTATCTCCATCCACTGCGTTGGCAGAGACATGGTTGTGCCTTTTGGGGGGGGGGGGGTGCATGCGCACTCGCAAACCGGAAGGCCAAGCCCAAGCCCTACTTTCAAGGCTGCCGTTGTTCTCAGTGTCAAACACTGAAGATCACCGGGAGAAACTTTGCTTTACAGTCCTCTACATGGATGAATAAAACGTCATGTTCATGAAACATGAAATGGCAAAATCCCTGGAGAGGAAAAAGACAGAACCTCCAATTCAGGGGACCTAGGAGTGCTGGGGAAAGGACTACTGGGTTCTTGCTTGGCAGTGTATTTGCCACAAGACATCCAACAGGGATAAAAGCAATGTATCACTCTGCTTCTCCATCAAGCCGGGGCACCCTGTAACCTTTCTAGGGGCACAGGGACCCAAGACTAAAGCAATCATCCATTGGGGTACTCCACGTTGCTTTGTCATCCAGCCTAGTCCTGGGAAATTATATGATGGGCAATTAAAATGAATAATCCAAATGGTCTCCAAATCTCTGAGAAGTCAAGTCCAAATTAAATCAGACAAGGCTTTTAGGCTTCCAACGATCACATTTTCCCTTTACAGCGAGTGCTTTTCAACACTCAGAAGTTCTCTTCTTACAGATCATTTTCAAGCCATCTCTGGATGCAATCTCCTAAACCAACTCTGATAGGCGAGATGAAGAGGGAACTGGCCTCCTCCAAACCTTGGGGAAAGGCTAAGGGAGAGAGCCACATTTTCTTCAACAGATTTCTGAAAGTTAATTATTTTAACCTCCTTTCTAGTAAATATTACTGGAACTTCTCATACAACACACACACACACACACACACACACACACACACACCATTTTACAAAACAAAAATGTTCCAAATTACTGTATATGGAAAGCCTAACGCACACCCATGAGAGCTTTGAAACATAAAATGCATGTGGAATTCCATCCCAAAAGGAAAACATACATGTATTTAGGATTATATATCCATATATAATCTTTATGTGTCACACTTCGCCCTGCCAGGGAAACAGACAGGTAAGTGACAGATGATCCATCATCTCTGCATCTCCACATTCTTAGGATGGCACTCACATCCAGGGCATATCTGCCAGCCCAGCCTGGGCCCCCCGAGGTCGAGGATACAAAGAAGGAGGGAAAGTATGAGGAACTTACATTTCAGTGATGTTCTCGGGGTCTGCACTGTTAGGCTCCAATCTCGGAAAAGCAACGATACCAGGGGAAGGCTCATTGCACCAAATCCGAGAGGCACTGCACTTGCAGGACGGGGGACAGGCGAGAGCGACCCTCCAGAAGCCCACAACCAGCCAGCAGAAACCCCAGAGCCTCGCCATGGCGGGTCCATGCCACCTCGACCAGGACGACATCCCTAGCTGCCAGTGCCAGTCCGAGTGCGTGTCCCTGCGCTGCCCACGCCGGCTTCCCCCGCGGATGGGGGAGGCCTTCCGCGTGCCCTCCGCCCTCTGGATTCCTCGGTGCTGGTCGCCTAGTGCGGAGTGCAGCGGCGTATCCAAGGCTGAGCCGGTCCGTGGCTGAGCGTATTCACGCGGGCCGCGGGGTTCACAGTGGCCGGGGCATCGCGGGCCTCTTCACAGGGGGCGCTGCTGCGAGCTACACCGTGGCCGCGGCTGCATGGCCCCGCACGCCGGGCACCGGTCCGCGGCGCTCACGGGACTCTGGGTCGCAGACTCCTTACTAAACCGTCACAGGGATCGGTGCACACCTCAGGGCTGGGGACAAACAGACACAGATGAGACTAAGTGCAGCACCCCAACACCAGAACTGGGATCCGCTCCCTTCAGCTGTCCTGGCCCCCACCTGACCCCAGCCCGGAGGCTGGACGCCAGTGCCCAGCAGTCAACTTGCCCCCTTGGTGCCAATGACGCCCCCAGGATGCCCACCCTCCAAGCCCGAGGCCGAGGGAGGAAAGATCGGAAAAGGGTCTGTGAGACCCGATTCTATGGCACAGGCCCAGCGAGGGACCCTTTGAAGAGGACTCGAGACTGCGATGGTTCCGCCACCGACGGGGCCCCAATGATGCTGCAGAATCCTGGCGGCCGCCGCGCGGGGGGCACGGGCAGGTGGCGCGGCACGTCCCACCTGGGGAGCAGCTGCGGCCGCCGCCGGGCGACAGCGAGGGCCCGAGGCGACGGCGGCCAGTGTCTGCGCGGCTCACCCGGCCTGCGGCGCCTCCCGCCCGCGGCGCTGCCTCCCAGCTCCTCCCGCCGCCGGCCACCGAGCGCGGGGAGAGAGAGCGCAGAGCTGCGCGGCTCCAGCTCAACCCGCTCGGGAGCCGCCGCCGCCGCCTCTGCTACTGCTGGCGAAGTGACGTGAGGGCTGACGCAGAGCAGGGGCAGAAACTCCAGAAAATTAGTCTGAAATCCAAAAACACACACGCTCACACACACGCATCACACCCTCCAGACAAAAGCGGCGCGGAGGGAGGGAATCTGGGGGCGAGCGGGGAGGGGGAGCCTTCGGTACGGTGCCGCTGGCCAGGCGCAGACGGCAGCGTGTGGGAGTCCACACTCGCGCGCTCACACGCACACACCTTGGCTGGGTAGACACGCGCGCGCGTGTGTGCGTGCGTGTGTGCGTGCGTGCGTGTGAGTGTGTGAGTGTGTGCGCGCGCGCCTGCTGGGATCCAGGTACCTCCGAAATACACCCCTGCGCCGCTGGACGCCCCCTCGCTCCCTAATTCTCACCGCGGTCTCTGCTACATTGCAGCGGTCTATCCCCCTTTTGAAATGGAAACAGGGCTTGGTTAGGCTCTGAAAAATGCGCTGATTCTTATTATAGGAATCCTCCCTTCTCTCTTCTTCCCCGCTGCGTCCTCCTTCCTCACCCTACGTAAAAGGGAAGGCAAGCTAGTCCCAAAACACAGGGACGGCGAGCTATCCCACCCCCCAAAAAATAAATAGCATCCAAATGTGCTCTGCTTTCCTTAGCGAAGGACCACAGTCCAGATCTCGGACCACCTAACTGGGGAGTGGTGGTTTGAGGCTCTCCCTGATGATGTTTTTGCCGAGAGAGCCCAGTCTCCAGCCGCAAGTCTAGCTCTTGGAAGGGTCTTTTTCCTGCGGCTTTCGTCCTCGCACGCGGGGTTTCGTACCCTCAAGTGCGGGGAAAGAGCCCCTTGCGCGGAAGGGCGCGCGCCTGCCGCTCGCCGGCTGCTCTAAACGCTCTGCAGCAGCCTTTGGCCTGTGGGATGTGTGGCGTCATTTTCTCTGATGAAGGATGCAGCCATTCCAAGATCGTAGCTTCACTGCCAGCAATGCCCACCCTCTTGCGGGGCACCCGGAGCCCTTGCTCCCCTGCCCCGCCGTACCTTGCGTGTGTTCGTGTGTGCGCGCGTGTGCGCGAACGCGTACCCTGCGGCCGCGCCGCCCCAGCACGACGTGCTTCCAGCGACCCAGAGCCCGGCCACGGACAGCGCCCGAGTCTCACTAGGGACACGTGAGGCGATCGGGAGGGTCGAGTGACAGCCCGTAACTGCCGTGTGGGTGCAGTTAAGCGACGGCTGCGGGGCCTTCGAGAGCCTTGTCTGAGCCCGTTCTTCCCAGTTGCGGCTCTGCTCCGAGCCTGTTTATCCGCAGTCATTTAGAAGGGAACCGGGTAACTGCACCGCAGTGTTGTCTGACACTTCCGAGGGCTCTGGTGCCCCCGCGCGGGGATACGGAGCCGGCACGCTCCGGAGCGCCAGCCCCCCTCTGCGGTAGCGCTGGCTCTGCGCGGGTACGCGCTCCCGCGCCTCTGGCGCAACCAGCCGCGCCCCGGGTGCGCCTCTCGCCTGACCCTGCCAGCTCCTGCCTTGCGGACCCAAAATCCGTCTGCCTGCACAGGCCGGGGATGCAGAAGGATGGAGGAACCAAATGTCAGATGAATGCTTGGGTTTCCACAGGAGAACCAGAAAACAATTAGCAGGGCTTTTGTAAGTAGGTAGATGCCAAGCACTGAGGACAGTAAGGACAATTCCCCCATGACACTCAAACATCTGGCCAGGAACAGAAGCCAGCAGGTCGGCCTCACCGCCTCCACAGAGTGCCGAACATCAAGCTGCCAAGCTGAAGTTTATGCCTCAGTTTGGCCTCTATCTTTTGCTGGGTAAGAATGTGACAAGAAAAGCCAAGGCCAAAAATACCTCAGTCCAGGAGACACAGTGAAACTGGACCTTATTTTGCCAATGTCTTTTAAGTGGAGAAACCCCTAGAAACACTGGGGGGGAAGATGAGTGGACACCCTCCTGTCCCATGCCCACTTTCACTTGGTTTATCTCGGAAAATTCCCTTCCATAATATTTGGTCTTTTAAACAGATCATTTACTTATTATATTTATTCTTTTGTCTCCCAGTAGAATGGAAACTCTGTGAAGACAGGGAATGTGTCAGTTTTATTCACTGAGGTAGCTCCAGCACATAGTATTAAGTTGTGTGTTTAATGGATAAATGAAATAGATGGGAGTTCAAGTATGACTTCCTTAATTTCTAGCATGGCAAGTCATCTGTGTAATTGTCCCTGGGCACAGTTCCTCTCATCTCCTCCCTTCTGAATTGGTCCCATGATTGGGATCCCTTCTCAGCACTTAATTCTACCTCTAATGACCAGATCTGTTCCTTCCCTAGGTCACAGAGGGCTTCCCTTTCGTGCACGCTGGTAACTCAACAATACCACAGACATGATAATCAATAGCTCCCTCTTAACTTATAGACTTAAAGATCAATATCAATTTTAAGACTTTAAAGTTGTCACACAGAGACCATTCCAGACTATGACATTTTAGGAGACAATGATCATTTTAAAGTAGATAATATGAAACAGAGGTTATTTTCCCCAGGTCCCTCTAATGCAGAGATAAAGATTAAGTGTTGTAGGTTCCTGCCTGCTCTGAGCCATGGCACTGTCTACCACAGAAATTCACAAGACTTACTGATTATAAGCCACAGGAGGAAAAAGCCAGATATGTCACAACTCGGTCATGCATTCACAAATCATGTGTATTTTAAAGGTTTCACACACACACACACACACACACACACACACACACACCCTTAATACATGAAATACACTTTTTCTACACTTTATTTTACAATGCTTACAATTCAATGAATTGATTCTACCATCTAATATTGGGTTGTGAAAAATAACAAGACGCTATCAACTGAGGTTCAACTCAGTTGAACTTAGGTTCAACTTCCCAGTCAAATAACTAATGCACTGACCAAAACATGTGAGACATGATTTTAAAAAGAGTGGTCATCAGACAACAAAATGAAAGCTACAGCAAAGTCTACTCCATTCACTTAGGAGCCATGACTCGGGGTCAAGGGAAATCAAGGCAAGCAGAGCACCCAAGACAGAATGGCAAGGAGCAGAGTGTTGCATGGAAAGAAAAGGCAGACAGAAAGAAATCATGAAGACCAGAAGGAAAAATAACAAAACGGGAAAACAGAAAAATAGTTAACAAAATCAGGATCTTATTCTTAAAGATGTATAAAACTGATAAATGTTTGGACTAATCAGGAAGGGAGAAGTCAGGAAAGGGGGTACTGGAGAGCTAACTCAGGGGCTGAGGACCCAGGTTTGTGTCTCAGTACCCACATGGCAGCTAACAACTATCTATGACTCCAGTTCCAGGGAGTCTGACGCCCTCTCTGACCTCCAGGGAGACTGGAAGCCTGTGGTACACTTACATACTTGCAGGCAAAACACTCATACACATAAAATGTTTTAAAATATGTTTCACAAAAAGGAAGAGAGAAGATACAAATTACCAATAATAAGTGAGTATGCAGGACTTAGTCACACACACCTTTAACCCCAGCTCTCAGGAGGCAGAGGCAGGTGGATTTCTGTGAGATAGAGGCCAACCTGGTCTACATAGCAAGTTTCAGGATAGCTGGGGCTACAGGGAGAGTGTGTCTCAAAAAAATAATAATAATGAGTGCAATGAGCACTAATTTATAAATATTAACAAAATCATAAGGGTATATTGTGAACAACTTCATGCAAATAAATTTAACAACATGAATAAAATGATTGTTCTCCATGAAATGTACAAACTAATGACACTGCTATAGAAGAAACAGATGACCTGAATAGTCCTAGGTCTAATGCATAGATTTATCTTTTAAAATCTTCCCACATCTGGGAAGATGGCTCTATGAGGAAGAGCGCGTGCTCTTCAGTCTTGAGCACCTCAAATGCCCAGAACCCATGGGTATGCTTGACTGTAACCCCAGCAATGGAGGCAGAAGCAGGCAGATCCCAAGAGCTCACTTGTCAATCTAGCCAAAAAGGTGAGCTTCCAGCTCAATAAGAAATCCTATCTCACGCAATAATACAGAGGGTGATAGAGGTGTACGCCCAACACCCTGCTCTGTAAATTAGTACAACCAAGCACTCCTGTATTTATTATACTATTCACAATAGCCAAGGTGTAGAATCAACTGGATAAAGAAAATTCAGTGTGTATATACACAATACAATAATACTTTCCATTAAAAAGACAAAATCTGGGGGCTCAAGTGATGACACAAGCATGAGGACCTGAGTTTGACACCCCCAGAACCCGCATGAGAGCAAGGCTAGGCAGTGAGTTTCTGTAATCTCAGCACTGGGAAGGCAGTAACAGAAGTACCTCGGGTCTTGCTGACGGGGTCTGTGAGATATGTAGAGCAACTGAGGAAGACCTCTGCCCTCCCCACACATATATGCACATAGGCATACATGTACATGCATGTGAGCACACACACACGCACACACACACACTAAAAATCTGTCATTCATCTCAACATGACTAGAACTGGAGAGCACAATGTTAAGTAAGCCATGAGAAGAAAGACAAATGACACCTCATTTCCCTCATATGTGAAGGCTCAGAGAGCTGAGTGCTGGTTACCTGTGCTGGAGAGGAGAGGGCATGGGGAGAGATTACTCAGTACAAAGTCATAACCAGATAGGAAGAAAGAGTGTTGGGATTGCCCAACACAGAGTTGTGTGTTGAAAACATTGCCTCTGTAAGCTGAAATAGCTAGAAGAGAGGATTGTCTTGTCACAAGAAATGAAGAGTGTTTGACATGATGGGTATCCTAACCAATCTGAGCTAATCCGTACACAGTGCACAAACACCACACTGTACTCCATAAAGATGTACATAAATTTATTGTTTTTAAATAAAAATTTTTCAGATAAGGAAAAATAATTCTGGTCCTAAGGCTTTGTGTCAAGATTTTATACTATGTTAAGATGTGTTAGAAGTACTTGTAAAGTTACTTAGGGTGCAATATGTGCTCAATAAGCAATCCCTAACAGGGTCCTGCCATTCTAACTTTATTGAGTTACTTAAGGGAAATGAAATCATTTGTCTATATGAAGACTTGTATGTAAACAATGAAGACTTGTATGTATATCTGTATAAGCAAAAATGAGAAATAATCCAAATATTAATTGAAAGTGAATGGTTAAAAAAATTGTGGCATCTCCATACGACATGCTGCTCAACAAAGACAAGCAGCCAGCTATTGATACTGGTAACTATGTAGGTGCCT